TCAGTTATCATTACTTCCTTCCGCCAGCAGTGCCTTGGCTTTTATTTGAAATTAATCATAGGCGCTACAAGTATCGGTACGTGGGTAACTGAATGATATGTTAAACTCTGTGTTAAACATTTTTCTAGAGATTTGATAAGATACATTATTTTCAGGTTGTGGGTATTGAACCGAATACATCTTGAACATTTTTTTTTATATTCAGGTTTTCAGGTAAATATTCTTTTTTGGTATCATTCAAACTGTAGTGGCTTTGTCTTCCTCTGAATGATTTAATATGGTTACAAATCAGTTGTTTAACATTAAGGTTTAACTTTTTGTGAGAGCGATTTGCCTCTTTTATGACTTTAGGAGGTGCTCAATTTTTCCTTTGGTGTCTCCAAATATAGACAAGACAATCCTTGTAGCAAACATCCATACTAACTGTTAATAAACCTAAAATCTCATAAAAAACAACGTGGTAATTTGTCGATTCTCTCAAACCTCAAAGTTAATTGTTTGGCAAGTGACAGGTGGACATTCCTTCTTACATTCTATTACGTTAAGGACATTCCCTGGTCTTGTGCCTGCACTACGTTTCGAAACGTGGGTGAAATTATGGACTACACTCGTTTTTACACTTTTTGATACATACCCATTGAAATTACACAGGAAAATGCAGACGTTACTATCATTATCTCATTTTCAGATTTTTGCGATATTCCTTGTTTTGCCTCTGTACCGTTCATATATATATATAGAGAGAGAGAGAGAGAGCGCTAGAAATTATCATACGGAGAAAGGTATATAACAGAAAATAGAAAATAATGGGCAAAATCCGCAAAAAGAAGGAAGTGGATTCGAACAGAAAATGGGATAGGTAACCCGAGCTATACGTATTTCTACTGGTTGGCTTCATCAGGCCCGAAATGAATGCACATATATGCAACTAAAAAAGTAGATACACATGCCCAAATATCCGGATACGGGTGTAACTTGAGGAAACGAAGATGGAGAGGGTAAAAGCGACACACGAAGCCAACCAGCAGAAATGCGTATCGTATTCGATTTTGTCCATTATTTTCCTATTTTTTTGTTATATGTATATATATTTGGAAGGCTTTCTTGTGCCTGGTAGTAGTCTGTGGCCACGGCTTTAACAACCAACGGACTCCAAAACTGGAAAGGAATTGTGATAAGCATAACACCGGCAATTTAACGGCTAGCAAATCGCACAAAAAAAGAATTACAAGCAGGGGTCTACCACCGAGTACTCACCACAAAGTGCAGTGGAAGATGGGTGCCACAGTAAATTTTCACACACAACCCGCACACTTTCCGTTCACACTTGTACGGAACCTTTAGGCAACACTGTTATAAGTTCATGTACCAATTTGATAAATAAGTGAAGTTTATTATGGCGAGTCTTTTTTTGTGAAGTTACATCCAATGTTTTCAAAGCAACAAATCCTCGGATTCAAAACTAGTAGTTTCATTTGGCGACATCTATGGCATTGCAGCGTTACTGCAATTACAGATCATGATAAGTAGCACTTAACATATGTCTGGATAGATGGCAGGACAACCATACATAAATTTAAATGAAAGGGCATTCAGGTATTTGTAATATTTGTTGGCGTTTCCTGGACGACAAGGTGATCAATCTAAAATTTTATATAAGAATGAAATAGCGGGAAATGAGAAACGTTGCTGTTAGATTGTAGTAATAATCTGTCAAACGCTTCCACCGTTTTAGACGAGTCTGTGGACCAGCATTGCCAAACGTACGGTAATTATCGTATCTGTACGATAGTTTCAAGTACTGTAGGATGATAGCTAAATGCACGTTAATTTTACGAATGAGCTTTTTACTACCATATGTAAATGTGATGAATGAATCCAACGATTACGTTCACATATCTCCCCCAGCTGTTCACTTGTACGAGGCAGAAAGCTTGCTGAGCTGGTGATGCTCTTCAATTGACACCAATAGACTGCACTGTTTGACGTACCTGTTACATGCGTGCAGAAATAGAACAAGGTAATCCTTCTGGAGCGTCAAAATTGCTCTTTTCTTCCCGTACTAAAGACCTTGGGCATAAGGGTTCTGTCACTTATCACTCTCATAACTCATTTTTTGCTTATTTTATTTGGTATATCAAAAATGCTCAAAATTGGCACAATATAATATATTGTTTACGATAAATGGGTAAACTAGTATCTATATAATATATATATATATATATATACAGGGTGACTTCGAAGTTGAGTCATTAATTTTCAGATAATGATTGTAGAAGGAAGATAAACCAAAATATGTGTGTAAAATAAAAAAAAATTAAAAATTTTTTTTTACCTTGTTTTATAAAGTATCCTCCCGACAAGTATTTCAGTGCGGACCTGTATTTGATCGTGAGGTCTTGGAGCACCGGCATGCAGTCCCCTGTGTGGTCCTGTGGAACCCGTTGTACTACATTAACAAAGGCACGAGGGGTTGGTTGCACTCGATTGGGAAACCGATCCGCATAAACATGTGCCATTTTTTATTTCGTTTGAGCCACGCAACAGACACCACTATTCAAACGCGTTACCGACTGACACTGACTGTATACAACTGACTAAAATAATTGTAAAAACATCGTTCCAAATTCTTTCGCTTTTTTGTTTCCGATGCGATGAACCAAACACGAGCACATAATATTATTATTGAGACAGGGCGGTACTCAAACTTCCAAAGGGCTATAACTTTGTTATTTTAATTTTACCAGAAAAATGGTAAAGGAAAAAACATTTCTTTTGATCAGATCTACTCACTGTTAAAATAAATGACTCAACTTCGAAGTCACCCTGTCCGCAAAGTTGGGGTTTTCCTTTACACTACGTGTAGATCTTGAAAACATAAGCAATTTTTCTTAGTACCATATACACCAATGTCTTAAGGGAACCGAGATAAAGGGCTCTGCAACATCAAAAATATCTGAATACCGTCCTGTAGCCGCGACATCCCCCAGTGGTACTAGGACACTAGCTCAACCCGACGACAGAACTGGGTCGGGGTCAGTGTGTCAGGTCAGTATGCAACCTTCAACCGACGGTTACGGTCACGCGTGTAGAGATAATCGTGTAGACGTGAATCCCTCAACAAGCACTAGAGACGTGGCTAGAGAAGTGCAAGTATCAAAAACTAAAGTGTGGCAAACGCTGCGTGAAGAGGGGCTGTATCCGTTTCACGTCCAACGTGTACAATCCCTTCAACCTGACGATTTTCCAGCAGGAGTGCGGTTTTGTGAGTGGTTGTTGCATCAACATGATAATAATCCGGACTTTTTAAAGTGCATATTGGTGACAGACGCATCTACGTTCACGCGGGCACATTTTCAACAAACATTTTCGGTGAATGTTTGGGCTGGCATGGTGAACCTAGACCTAGAGTTTTTACGCAACATTTTGCCTTCCTTGTTTGCCTGCGTCTGCTCGGTAGCGCATCAGCTGATTTCATTTTCTGTTGGAGCGGTATGATTTCGGCAGAGACGTACTTAGCCCTTCTCGTCAACTGGAGAGTGAGTACTTTTTCCTTTTTTTTTACTTGGTCGCCCTCGTTTCACTACACATTACCTTTGTTATTTCAAGGGCAGTTGTTTCTGAAAAGGAAAAGCCCAACTTTGCGGACACCCTGTATATATATATATTCTATTTATTATATATATATATATATATAATAAATAGAATGGTCGCAGAAAACGTGGTTAGAAATAAGTCAGCTGTCGTCAAGTGTCATTAGATGACTCTGTAATAATTTAGGCGTCTTGCAGGCTAGGTAGTTTTTAGTGTGCAACTAGTTCATTCCACGTTTGCTCGCTGTGATCGCTGTGAGCATCCATCTATGAAGAAATGAGACAACGACCCTAAATGCTCAAGCATGCATTGTTGGTTGCAGAAAGCCTAGTGTATAATATGTTTTGTGAAGTCGAGTAGTCTGTAGCGTTTATGAAGATGTGAAAGAAAGAAAGCTGGTTGATTAGCTAGATTGCATAATATGGATGATTATATATGTTTTGGTCAGCATGTGTATAAGATGTGAAACATGTGAAGAATATGCCGCCGATGAAGAGTATCTATTAGCTGTGCCCGACTGGTTATTTATATGTTACCTTTTCTAAAAACAGGGTATGCTCAAAGTTATACATTGCGATTTTCCCAGTTTTTTGTGTTTCCAAAAACTTTGAGGAGCATTACAGGAAATCGCCACTGCGCTCACGTTGCGTGTAACATAGCCAAATCACAGGAACATAGGAATGCCGCATGACAAATCAAACATTTTCGCAGTACCGCACATCTATGCGCGATTTGTGCTTTCTATTGACATCGAAAAATAAATTTCTATAAAATTTAAATGACTGGAAATAAAAAATAATGTAAGAATGTTTTCATTTTCATTATTCCTGTCTGTAGCATATTTTCTCACCTGTCACTTCACCAACCAGGAATTTGCTTTTCTTGTCTCTTTCAGTTTTGAAATTCACCAAATTTGCATTTATAATTTCCAGAATGAATGAGAAAAAGTGGCAACTAACTTCTTTTTGAGACAAGAAACCAATGGAATTATCATCAACACAGATTATTGGCACACAAACCCACACTATGCACCTGTCTGCAGTAGCAGATGTTGTATCACATCAGAGCCAAACATTAATAACTGAAGCGTCATGACGTTTATACAACACGTACAGCTAAAAAACGAGTTCACACCAAGTGTACAACAACTAGTGCTAAGTTAACATCTTATAAAAAAATCTACATTATATCACAAAAAACCTACAAAATGTCAAAAAAAACGAGTAAATGTCGCTTTTCAAGATACGTACTACCTGTGTGGGACAGGAATTCTGAGACCTATTCCACAACGTACGATAATGTACGATTATTTTAATCTTGCTCTAAGGATTATTTCTTACGGCAAATCTGGCAACGCTGATGTGGACAGGAACAATTTTTGACTCTTGAACTTGACAACTGACAACTGCCACTTTTATTTCCTAACCTATAATGGCAGCTGCCACAGGCACCTACAAAAGAATTTTAAATTTATTAGAAAAGTGCCCCCTCGATAAAAACAAATCAGGACGGTTAGATGCACTACATACCGTAAATGTATACAAATTGACAAAATGCATACTTTCAGGGATCTTGGGGAATACCTCAGAAATTACATAAACCAAGCATACAAAGACAATCTGTTCGAAAGTAATCCAAAATACTGGGACAGGCAGTTTATTTCTTTGCAGAAATTGATCAACAACGAGCATAGAAATAAGTACAACCGAACTCTGAATTCATCTGCTACTGGCTTAACAGCCGAAGAGTGCAATATTGCACTTTCCAACGAGTTCTTGAAACAGCTGAAGGAAGAGGAAAAGTCGATATTCAGGAGATTGATGTCCTTGAAGCCTGACAAGGAATAATGTTTCAGTTACCCAAGAATCTTAGAAGGTAGTTTGCTTTTGTAATTGTTTTTGTTAGTTACATATCAGTGCCATACAAAATGAGTAAACAGATCGACTATGTCATGGGTAGCTTGTTTTACCAGACTTTGGGAAAATGTAAAACACTCATGCATTGTGACAAAACTTTTGAGGCACTGATAAAACAAAAAAAAATTTATATTTATGAGCCTACACAAAGAAACATCCACAACAAGGAGGTAGAATTCATGTGTATGATGTCATAATGTGTACGTGATAGAAGTGCTAGAAGCATACAATATGTGTGTTAAGAAGAGTTAGAAGCACCTCATTCCCTAGCAACCGAAGTGATGAGGCTACAGATGCCATCGACATTCTATTTCTAACTTACAAATTAGATGCTCCTCTCTTGTACATGTTACAATGTCAGCGAACTTTGAACCTCACCATATGTGAGGAAGATGGAGAGACGGAAATGATACTTGGCTATTTTAGTGGAGTTTTACTGTGATTTTGATTCCTTAGCTCTCCTAAGTAAGCTTTCCTGCACTGTTTTTTGAAAACACTTATCGACTAAGTAAGCTTTCCTGCACTGTTTTATGAAAACACTTATCGACTTAAAACATTATAATAAAAATCACATGAACACCTATAGTATATACAGGATGTCCCAACTAAAATGGAAAGTAGTTTAATAGAAAAAGTATAAAAGACATTAAAAAATGATTTGCGAAGCAAGATTGACATCTTATAAGTGTGTTTTTAAATTATTTGGAGATATGCAATTTTGCACAACAACCATGTTTTTTGATTATATATATATTTTAGTGTGTATAATCAGATAACTGTTCTAACAAAGCAGTATTAAGCCTGGTATCAGAAGGAACTCAACTCTGATGGTGTAAAAATATACAGGATGTTACACTTTGGAAAAAAACATGTTGTATTTTGCTGCACACTGACAGGGTAAGCACACTTTTTCATCTGCTTTCCAAAATTGGCAGAAGTCAAAACCTTCAAGGATAGGCTTTTTTTCAGACAAATGGTAAAATAACCAAGCAGTTGACAATCAGAATCCTACTGTATATTATATCAATCTTGTTTTTGGAATCCAATATAATGTGGGCTGTTATTAAAAAAACCTATTTGTGTTGCCATTGAATATAGCTTATCTGCTAAACAAGGTTCCATTTTCGTTGGGATACCCTGTATATATTATAAATGTTCATGTGATTTTTAATATACTAAGTTCGATGAATACATCAATCAAAGCAAAATACTGCAGGCAGGTGTACCCATGGAGGTTAACACTCCAAACTTTAACATGCTGTATCTCCAGTAGTAAGCATTTCTGGCCTTGGCATGAACTATTGCTATATGAATTGACCACTGGTCAAATTCCATATGTTTGTGCCTCATACTTTTCTCATTGGTAGGTGTGGTGGGGAGGGAAAGCTACTTCACCACATGTATGTTGATCTTGCACCAGTCCGGTGCATAATTTTGGCATTCACATTTTAATTTATTTTATCCAGTTGATTTACCAACCAACAATGGCATATTGGTTGTGTCAATTTTGAAACCACTCTTCCACTATATCCCTTATTCTGCATTCAGCTAATCCCAGTGCTGGTTCAGAGTTCAAAAATCATTCACTGGTCTTGTCATTGCAAGGATGTCTGCCATATTATCATCACATATGCCTACTAGTCTTTTTACCTCTTTCTAATTTCCTGATTGTCACACTTAAAATACAAGTTCTGCCACATATTGATTATGGATATACTTTAGTTTTATTTCAGAATATGATTTTATACAGTTTTTCAGCTGTCTCAGAACTTTATGCACAACATGCAGTGGAGAAATACAAAACACTTCATCTCATATACCCGTTATGACAGAGGAAGTGCTGAGTTACATGAATGTAAAGCATGGCCAGACCTTGTTAGACATGACATTTGGGGCTGGAGGTCATAGTAGAAAATTACTCCAAGCTGTGCCTAATTTGAAAATTTTTGCTTTGGATCGTGACCCAACAGCTCATGGGTATGCTCAAAAACTGGCTGAGGAGTATCCAAGCCAGGTGTGTAGACATGTAGAATAATACTTCCCAAAAATCATCATGACATCAATATTTTTTATTTTAAGAGACTCTTAAATTTCTTTTACTTAGTATTACAAGGCTTGGGCTACATTCACATTTCTTTACCTGTCTGGGACTTCTTTTCTTGTACCGTATGATTTTTTCTGACATTTCTATACATTATAAGAAATATTTTTTATAGGTGACACCACTTTTGGGTAAATTTTCGGATATCCCAGATTTGATGAAATCTTTAAGTCTAAGAAGAAATTCCTTAGATGGAGTACTGTTTGACTTTGGATGCTCTTCTATGCAGTTTGACCAGTCGGAAAGAGGCTTTTCTGTTTCCAAAAATGGACCTTTGGATATGAGAATGGATGGAAATAGGATACCAGGTAAAGGAAGCACCTAAATTACCTATTGTGGCATCAATGTGACCTTTTATCTCTTTAGAGTCTCCAACAGCTGCTGATGTTCTGGCATCAGCTACTGAAGATGATATTTACAAAATACTGAAGGTGTATGGTGAGGAAAAGCAAGCCAAAAAAATAGCAAGAGCTGTCATAGAAGCCAGATACTTGTTCAAAAAGCTAACAACAACACAGGAATTGGCTGATTTGGTAGAAACTGTTGTTACAGATGAGTTTAGGTAAAATAAATGACTATACTCACAGCAGCTTTGTTCTTACAGTTATAATATTTATAATTCAGTCTGTCATTAAAATATGTTGTAACAGTCATTAGAATTTTTTCTACATATCTTTTCTTTTTGTCTTCATATTCTTATCAGGATCTTTTAATATCTGAGAATTTCATAGTTATGATAGTGAGATGTGAAAATACATTTAAAACAATTTTTCAGATTGGATAAGCTTCAAAGAAAATCACATGTTGCTACTAAGACCTTTCAGGCATTAAGAATTTTTGTGAATAATGAACTGAATGAAATAAATTATGGTCTCATATTAGCTCATCATTTTTTGAAGCTTGGTGGCCGAATTATAACAATCACTTTCCATTCTTTAGGTAAGCAATTTTTTCCTTTGGCAAAATGTTTAATCCCCCATTCTTGTCTGGCGTGTAAAACCACACGTATTGACAGCATCTTCTTTACAATAAATGTTTCAATCACAAAGGTGATATCTTTTTCATTACAGTGATAATATGTATATTTACGTTTACGGTAAAAAAATTCTGTCAATATATGTGGTTTTATTGGCCAGTAAAGCGTGGGAGATTATCAACATGTGAACCACATGATAAGTTTCAGATGTTATGACAAGATTTTTATCTATCTCTTTAACAGATTTTTTGTTTATAACACGCAGACAGCATTTACCTCTGTATCTTATAACTAGACATTGGGAAAATTACAAAGCATTGTATTAAAAAGAATGACTGCTTAACATAAAAGTGGTCTGTATACGATTTTTTTAATGAGCGCATCAGCAAAAGCGAGTATGTATAGTAAACAACTTGAGAGATTGGAAAAATGGGCGCCGGCGGGATTCGTAGCCGCAGACGGGGCACCAAGGCAGTGAATTAGGTAGGATTGAATTTGCCTCAACAGTCGATCCTGAACGTTGGTGCAGGTTCGAATCCCGCCGGCGTCCACTTTTTCTATCTCGCAAGGTGTTGTTTACTGAGCATATTTGCTGTTGCGGAAGCACTCATCCAAAAAATCGTATACAAGTTACTATCATGGTACGGTGGTACCGTGGTGTATGCCTACGAGGCGGCGTTGTGAAACTAGAAAGCGATTTAACACCTTTCGTTCCGGTTTGTTTCACTTGAACGCTGCCAGATGGAGCACTGAGGCAGCTTGAGATAACAGAAGCAGAAGCGTGGGTAGGATCGAATTTGCCTCTAACAGTCGATTCTGGAAGTTGGTTAGACTAATTAGTTATGTCAGCTCCACGGAATGGAGAAGATGCCTGCGCTCATTCTTCCCATTTCTCAAGTTGTTTTTTAATATAAGGTGGTATTGAGTAATTTTGAGTTTCCCTATATTTGCTTAGAATCTATTGATATGGAGTAGTATCAGCACAGTTTTGGCTAAATTGTTTTTAAAATTCATTTAATTAATAGCTAGCTATCTGAAATGTGGTCATGATCATTGGCAGCTATATTGATTGGTTTGTACTGATTTTTTATCAAACATTCCCAGTTATTTCTTGCAAAACAAATCAAACTGAAGTAACAGCTTCTCTGGGAAGTACGAACCAATGCACGGTATGCCACAAGAAGACTGGAAACTTGTGGGTAAACTACCCAAGGCAAAACACAGTCGTATAAAGCCAATACTGGCGGTAAGGAGGGCGTGGCTCTCGGAAATCTAGTGCTCGCAAAGCTTCTACGCATATATCGGGTGACTCAAATTCTACCCTCACCATTGGGATATCGAAAACGGTAAAAGATTCGAAGTCGCTTAAATGGGAGCCCATCTCAAATAAAATCAGGAAAAACTAAAAATATTCTGCGATAAATCTGGTATATCAAACAGATGACTATGTAATAATTTAATTATATAATATAATAAATATAGGCCTTCCTAGGAAATTCTGTTTTTGAAATAACTAAGATATGGCAATGTCAATGTATTACATATTATATATTTTGGAATCAGAATTAAAAACTCTATTCACCAGTGCAAAAATCCAATATGGTGTCCTTAAGAAAAAATAAAGTGGATGCTGGAAAACCAGAGATGAAACATCATATTGATATTCTAATTATGCCATTTTGCTAGAGGAGAAGGTGATGTTGACGTGCAATTTATTTTGAAATTCCACTACAAATAATAACAGGAAAAAATTAAAACTATTTTGGGAAAATTCTGTTTTATCCGTCTCTCTTCGGAAGTACAAACTTTATAAGTGGCATTTTGTTAGTTTCCTAAATACGCAACCTTGCCCCTATTTGAGCGACTTCCTATCTCTTACCGTTTCTGAGATCATAATGGGGAGGGTCGAAACACCCGTTATACACATGCGCCGTTCAAAAATAATGGATTAATAATTATGTACATTACAAAATCTTGATTAGCTAGGCTATTCATATCATCCGCTTGTTGCCACGCTTTGCTGGTTTATTATTATCAACCAAAACTGCTTGCAACTCGTCTAAACTGTCAAAACTGGAGTTTGTTACGATTACATGTATGACGAAATGCAGAAATAGAGAAGCATGCCACTTGCACAGAACCTGAAATACATTTCGCTTGGCCTCCTCATGTTTCTAGTCTTCTTGACATGCCCCTATCACTTGAGGGTGTAGGGTATTCCGAATGTCATTTAGAGCCGTATCGGCAGTCGTTCCTACAATTGTAGGATGCCTTTATGGCCTCCTTGACTTTCATAGTATTTTCTCTTCCTTAGAAAGGCTGGAGTATTTCTACTGTTCTGTCTCGGCGTCAGCGCTCTTCTACCATGAGGCTGTGTTTTCTTTTTGAATTGTAAGAAATTTCAGGCTGATAGAACAGATGATATAAATCAAAAGCAGGAACAATTTGATACAAATAGATGTTTGTAACATAATCTCCAAATTGAGCGCTATCACGGAACAGCAGAAAACTATGGAAATCAAGGAGGCTATAGAGGCGTTCTACAATTGTAGATACGACTGACGATACAGCTCTAAATGATCACCTGATGTTTTTTTGTCATGTTTCCACATGCTTATAAATCTTTTGTTGATCATGATGATATCTTTTTTTTCAGAAGATACAGTAGTAAAAAGGCACTTCACAGGCAACATTATAGAAAATACAGCCAATCCTTTGCCACTGAAGTACAGTAGCTTTCATCATACCATGGAAGAAGATATGGTTAAGGATGTAATGGAGCCAAAGTGGAAAATGCTGCATAAGCATGTTCTGCTGCCTACTGACGAAGAAGTGGAAAGGAATCCAAGAAGTAGAAGTGCCAAGCTTAGAGCTGCAGTTAAAGTGAAGTAAATGAAGTCTGTGTAGAAATGAGTACCTACACCCATGTGGGGCTGTGAAATGGTTTGCTGTAAATAAAGTTTATTTTACCCTTTAGTATGAAGCAATAGTATTTTTCTTAATAAATCTATACCTTTTTGATAATTTGAAACAGAAAAATAAAAATAATTGCATCTTATTCAGGTACAATGAATGTGTAACGACCAATCGAATTATTTGAAATAAATATGCGTATGCTATATTTTGTTAATTTGTAGGTAAAGCTCGACGCTATGTTGCGACGTAAAAGCGCGTTTTGAATGCCATGTGTCCTTTAACTCTGCGTTTCTCAACCTTTCACCATTCGCGACCCAATTTTCAATAATTATTTTCACCACACCCTACACAATAACAATGTGTGTATACAATAATAATGCACCTTGAGTATTTTGACGCTAAACTTACAGTACAACCTTTCAAATCCTACAACTTACCGAGAATAATTAAATTTATAGATATTTGGCGACGCCGATCTGTTGCATTGGCATATCCGGAATCAATGCCTGTCTTTGCAAGTTATTCTCGACCGTCTGCGCGAACGTGTATACACGCCGTATCTCGTCAATTCTGGTCAGTCTCGGTTGTTCTGTCTGTGCTAAATCTATTGTGAATGCGTATGCTGTAATTTGCGTGTTAATTGCAGTTCACGGTATTAAAATATATATATCCCCTGTAGTAAATTTAAATTTATACCAAATCATGGATACATGTTTAAGTGGGCGGAAGCGAGCATGCGATACTGGTGAAGCATCAACAAGTGCAAGGCGAGAGAGGTTCCAAAAATAAAATCAAGAAAATATTCTCAAGAATTCTAAAATTTTGGGTTTACGGGTAGTGAAGTCAATGAAGAAGAGATGCCTCTGTGTACCATTTGCTCAAAAACTTTAGCAGATAGCATGAAACCTAATAAACTTAAACGACATTTGGAAATGCTTCATAGTGAGCACGTTAACCAACCTCGAGAATTCTTTGAGTTAAAATTAAAATCATACGAAATGCAAAAATCATTAAAAAAAACTGTGAATGAAAATGCTTTAGTTGCCTCATAAAATTTCATTCGAAACAGCCAGATATAAGAAGCCTCACACTATATTGGTGAAGAGCTTATTTTGCCAGCTGCAATTAAAATTGTAGAACCTATGGAGATAACGTTGCCAAAAAATTGGAGTTCATACGTCTATCCAACGAAACGGTTGCCCGTCAAATTGGTGATATAGCTGAAGATGTTCAGCATCACCTACTCGGGAAGTTTCGAGACAAGTTGTTTTCAATTCAGCTTGATGAGGCAACGGAAAGCAATAAAGATGTTCATCTTATTGCCTACGTTCGATTTTGTGATGGCATATCAGTAGTAGAAGAACTACCTTTCTGCAAACCTATAGAACTCAAAGCAACTGCTCTAGCATTATTTGTTCTCTTTAATGATTATATAATCGAGGCAAACATAGAGTGGAAAAATTGCGTCGGAATATGCACCGATGGAGCTCGTTCAAAGTCCGGAAGATTTGAAAATATACAAGTCCTTGTAAAACAAAAATCTGCACTGTGCATCTGGACACATTGTGTGATTCACAGAGAAGCTCTGGCTTCCAAAGAAATGTCTTCTGGCCGGAATATTGTGCTAACTACGGTTCTAACCGTAGTTAATTACATAAAAATGAGACCTTTGAAAACTAGAGTGTTTTCTGCACTTTGTAAAGATATGGGTACAGTACATTCAGTATTACTATTATATTAGTTAAAAGTTAACGATCCTTATAGAAAATGAAATTGTGGAGCAGAAATTTAAAGCAAAAAAACCTGGAAGTGTTTGCAAATGTGGATGAATGTATTAAAATGTGCAAGGTTGAAAGTTGTGTTCATAACCATTTAGCGATGCTGAGAAATAATTTAAAAAAATATTTTCTTGCCGACGACAAAATACTTAGTTACGAGTGGGTTAGGAATCCATTTCAAATTGCTCCCGAAGGGCTCTCAACTGTCGAAGAAAAAATCTTCATAGACTTGACGGCGAACGCCGAAGTCAAAAAACTGTTCAATAATAAATCTCTTTGAAGTTTGGGCAGGCGCGAACGATGAGGTTTCGGCACTGCGTTTCGTATACTACTACCATTTTCAACATCCTACCTTTGCGAAGCAGGATTTTTAGCGGTGGCTGCTTTGCAGACTAAATATAGATCGCAGCTAAATATAGAAAAAGAACTCAGAGTGTCTATTTCAAATGTTAAACCTTGTTTCTATACTGTTAGTATATCAGTGTTAATGTGTGTTTTATTTTTTATTATGTCAGAATTTTGTTTTTCTTTTCTTTTAGTGAATCATTCAATGTTTATAGCTTTTTTTCTGATATGCTTGTGCCTCCTTTGATACTGACACGCCCCCCTAGGCGGGCGCGCCCCACAGTTTGAGAAACGCTGCTTTAACTGATAATCGTGTGGCGGCATTTTTTGTCATCAAATGAAAATTATGATTGGCGCTCAATCGGCGTATTTATTTATACATAAGATTGCTTACAGCATTTAAGCATTTTTGTGCCAAGTTTTTGTGTTCTGGTTGCCATTACACGTAAACCATGAAACGTATAGAAATCTTTTTTTATGGCATTATACTTTATGTGATATTTGAGTCCCTAGATGTCCACAGGTTAGAGAAATCGAAAAATTTAGGAGAAAAATTGGTACTTTGGCATAAGAAGCACTTGTCATATCAAACGGTTGATTTTATTGATATACATTGAACAAAAATCTGCCGGTCTTTTTATTTCAGATTCAAAGGAGGCAGCTAAAAGTTCATAAATGTGCTACCTAACCATTCCTGGTGCAACTTGAAACTGCCAAAACTTCGAGAGGAGGGTGAAAATATCATCTATCCCGCTCCATTCACGACGGGATCCCGGAAAAAACTTTCTTTTAATTTAGCAGTGTGCGTCATCAGTTCTGTAATTTTCTGACGCGGAATGCATCCAAAATATTCATAATCACAAGTTTTCTATTTATTGTGGCGTTCAGTGCGTTAAATTGTTCTGGACCTGGGTTATTTTAGCAAACAATGGGATTAGTTGTATAATACTCGAGGAATCATAATTTCACTGCTTATTTATTATTGAAAATTATTCCAAAATATTGACGTAGTTACTAACATGCCATGTTTTTATTTTGCATGTTTTAACATCTATCTTTCTTTAAAGCTTCCTCAATAAATTGGCATTATGTGCATCAGACAGCAAAACGTATTGTTCAACAAAAACAATTATTTTGCAAGACGGGCATTGTACGTGTGATTCAATGATTATACTATCTATACCAACAGCTTGGTGTATCGTTTAAGGGACTTTCTCATTCATACACATGGAGATTGAATCGATGCATGGTTTTAGTAGAAAACGGAAAACTGTTAAATAAGTAAGTTACGCAGAGCGGATACTGATGTATTCACCCAAAACATTATTTTATGGTTAATGGATTTAGAATTGGGATTTTGGTGCATATAGCACGTAAATATGAAAATGAAGCAAATTAAGAATCCTGCTACTATTTTTGAAATGGCCTATTCAAGTACCCGCCGTCGAGTAGTGCATGTAAAAACAACGTAAATCATGTGATATGTGGTTTTACGAGGTACTATTGGAGCGGAAAGGAATTGACTTACCTGGATTATACCTTAAATACGCAGCTTCCTTTTTAGGAAGTTTTTTCAGCAAAAAAGCATTTTTGAAAAAATGTGTCTCAGGTGGATTTTGAAATAACCGATCCAGTTTTTTCCATACTTCCTTTTCCGATATCTTCCAGCTTTTTGGGCAATTCAGGACGTAGTCAAATTTTGTTGATTCTTGAATCGGCATTCCTGCGGGGTTTTGGGTCAATCTACTTGACGCCATTTTACCAGGAATTGAAGGGCTTGGGGCAATAAGGTACCTAAGCCAATTTGAATAAAAAACATTTCCATCTAGAAGAACGCATAGCATAGTTATCTATGTCCAAGGTTGATATTTTGATAATTCACGATATACCACATATTTTTACGGTATACAAGCTATAAACAACTTGAATTCAAGGTTGGGCGGTAAACGGAAATTAGTCGATGGTAAAAACAGTTGATATTTCAATGATACAGAGAACAAAGATAGTTCTCGATTTGGTTCAGATGACAGTGTATGTAATGGACAGACACTATCCTCCAATCCATAGCAGTTCTGATCGCTGAAAGACTAATAAATTTGTGGCTTACGTGTACTGCCGTTATAGTTGTGGCTTATGCTTTGTTAGTTTCAGAATACCAAATTTTAAACAGTCCATTTATCAGAATATATAATTATCCTTAATTGAGGACGACTATCGTAGACTTGACCAAATAAATTTTAGCTACCTATGTGGCTTGTAACCCTCTTCAGATTTTAGGAACGTTAATAATTTTTTCGAAATAGATAACGCATCTGAGACAGTCCTAATCGAAAAACAAGTTTCTTGCATTTGGCTTCATCTCATGAAAAAAGAAATTTAACGCAGATAAGTTGTCCGTCAAATTCAATCAAGTGTGACGTTTCAAGTCTAACCATTTTTTAAATTACCTTTGAAGGAACTCTTCAATGAAGCACCGACCAACAGAATTTTCGAAAATAATCTTATTTTACGAAAATGCGTAATATTTTTTCGACTCTGTCATCACCAAATATCTTTTCCTCAAAATGTCAACCTACTGAAGCATCTTAATTGAAATTAAACAAAAGAAACGTAATTTCAGGATTTACATGCAACTTCTAACTAGATTTCTCGAAATAAAGTAATGTATTTTAATTACCTTATTGCCCCTAGTCCTTCAATCCATAGTCAAACTCTCAGCTACTACTAGTATGTGTATGAAAAGTTGCCTACATCGACACCGCTCAAATCCCGCGTGGTGTAGGTAACATTCAAAGAGAAAGTACACGCACGTGAAATAAATATTCAAAAAATTGTTAATGCCTGAAGATATTACTCACTCAGTGTTGCCCAACCCATTGTCTGTACAACACCGTATTGTATCACGTAGAAAAACCACTGTTAAACAGTGCGCAAGGTGTAGTACTTTTGCTGAAGAAAAAAAGAAGTACAAATGTGGCGGACCCACAGTTTACCTTGAGAATATTCATTAGTTCCCATCCGATTTTTGTGGTGATTCAACGTTGCGATGGTTTCAGTATGCTTGTGTCTCATCCAGTCATGAAATCAAGAAGATTCTCAAGAATATTGTAGAAAATGCGACGAAAATGTAGCTGTCAATAATCATCAATAGCCAGTGAAATGGCTCTAGTTGATCATTGTTTTTGTTGTAGTGTTTTAATCGCATCTGGATTTTTTGCTGCTTATCTTTTGGTAAGTTTACTGATTTTAACTTACTATGGAAGCAATACCTAGTCTAAATACAGTGATGAGGAATTTGAGATTTACAGCATCTATATTATGAAACACTGAATATGGGTATCGATACAAAATTACATTATGGATACAATATTCTCTAAACAGGACAACGGTAACAAACCTAAAAAAAAATTACCAAATACACTATTTTCTTATTACTGCAATACGTTTGTCTCTTATAAAACTGAAACAATATTTCTAGGGCAAAAAGTACAGACGTTCAAAAATAACTACAACAAATTTGGTACTGCAGTTAAGTAGACTCTGAAGCGACTGAGAATATGTTTAATGGTGCAAACTTTTCTAAGTATTTATTGTATTTTGTTTAAGCTATTGAACTTTAGAGCTACCCTTCTTGAGAGAACACTATCAGACTTCTCGTGTACTACGAATTCCAGGCGCTAACTCACTCCATTCTCTAAGTATCCGGGCGGAGGGTGGACTCGAGGGAACAACATCCATGATAAAATTTGTTTCACAAACACCCGAGGGATTAACAGCAATATTGATGCCGTTCATCACTATCTGCATTAAGTAACCAACTTAGATTTACAAATTAGTAGGTGAACTCCAGTCTGAGGAAGAAAAGGGAAGTTGTGGCTTTTGCTTGCAGAAGTATTTCCTGCTTCAAAGACTTTTTGTTTAGAATCTGACCGGAAGGACATTCTGTGGCTTCGTCTCAACTCCAAAACGTCTTCCAAATCTAATTCCTGCTTTTATCCCTCTCCCTCGGACCACAACCTACTTGAATACTCTACTGTTCAGATAGAAACATCAATCACCCTGCTTCAGGGGTAGTTCTCGGTGATTTCAATTCTCATAATGAGCTCTGTCTGTGCCCAAACAACATCGATGCTGTTGAAACGTCATTTTTCCCCCGCATTCTATCACACGCCAGTAGGCTGCTAGATTTCTTTCTGGCAATGCGTCCTGACCTTTACAGAGCTGCTGTCCTGTCTTGTTTGGATAACTCGCACCTCTCTATTGTGGAGGTTCGGTTTCAGTCAGAATCTACTGTGGCAGCAAACACTCGCTCAGGTCGCAAAATTTGGCATTACGGAGATGCCGACTGGGAAGGGCTCAGAGACTTTTTCTCCATTCTTCCTTGAAGAGATGTTTGTTTCGCTGACCCGGATGCGTCGGCTATGTGTTCATCAATAACCGAAGTTATACACGTTGAGATGGAGAAATATATCCTTCATATATAGTCAAAATCACCAAAGATGACTATTACGTCATACCATAAATTGTACTGAAGTAATCAATGGACGTACGTAGATGACAAAATCACGATGTCAGGAACATAATGACAACAAATTTATATTATGATTTTGCGAAGTTAGGATATTTCACTGATTATTTTCATTTTATTTCATGGTTTTGAGTGATACCTTAATAATAAAAATAATTTTAGTGGGGAGTTTTTGTTTTGAAAAAAAAACAGTTATGTATAGACCTTAAGACAGAAACACCAAAGATCAAAGTATTATTCAAAAACAACCTAACAAGCTTTAACCTAACCTAACTATTCATCTCTCAAATATGATCGATCATGCAACATGAACCCATCGTCTATCTTTGTGGGATACATGCAACTTGGCAATACAGTTTGTTTAGACAATAAAAATCTGTTTGTCTCTGTCTAACATATCTGAAACTTCATTAAAAATATTCACAAATCGCTGTCGTTACACTTTACTACAGACTAAAATGATGACGTAATCGTCATCTTTCGTGATTTCGACTATATACATGTATAGTCCCTATACCAGGGTCCACCGAACACACCTAACCTTATTGTAAAAGCCCACTGTGTAGAACAGACAAGCCAACGTCGAGTTTATAAACAAATATGTATAACGAAGATTTCCAGGGATCGGCCTTGCCTCCGAAATTGCTCCTCTTACATACCAACGGCCTCCTTTCCTGTATGACCAATCCGATCCACAAATTATATTATCGGCACTTTCCGCAGTCGAGCTCAACGTTGGCGTACTTTTTCATCCCCTCTCCAAAATTCATTTTAAAACAACTGAGAATGGCGGAGTTCGAAGACGTCAAAGATATGCACTTTTTCAGACAAATGATAAAATTATTATACAAATGACGACCAAAATCCTATGGATCATATCAATCGTCTTGTGTGGAATGAAATTTGCGTTTGACGTGCGTCGCTGTTCCTGTCACTGTCGCTGCACCTCGACTGGCATGAAGTCTGTATAATTACTCTATAGATTATAGGTATAGCAATCAGGAAAAGAATGGAGGAAGTCGATGCATTACAGGTAGAAGTACTCTGCAATTAATTTTATTATGTGCGATTGCACAGGCAGGCCTGCTCTAAATATATGCGCGCATATCACCCGGAAAATTTAATTATCTCTGAATGCAAGGACGCTTACTTGCAAAATCGTATTAAGAATTCATACCTAAATTGTTGGTATTTACACCAGGTTAGTTCGTTCGATTTTATAGTTCTTAATGCGATGAAAAGAGGTTTACATCGGTAATAAGCCAACGCAGAAAACAAATAAAATATACTAGCTTTGGCAGAAAAAATACATTTTATGGACTGAACACAAACTATAATTTGCTATAATTTGGCATGATTTATGATATAACAATTCATGGGTCCAAAATTCGTACGTAGGTGGTTCAAAGAACCAAAGTTTTGGATATTCTGCATATATTCTCTAAAAATTGGTATTAAACAACTTTTGTTTTGAAAAGTTCTTGCTTTCTAAGATGTTTCTTACACAGTAAAACAGGGGAATCTTAAATTTTTTGCTGCTTTCTGATTGTTTCTTATTCCTGTATATTTTAGTTAAACCTCCAGTCACGAGGTCAGATTTGTTTTCAGAAGAGGATGACATGTTTGTAAGCAGTGTTACCTAATTTTATTATTCAGTGCGTCCTTCAGTGTGGGTTGATGCCTACAAGTGAGCTATTCCTTGATGCTAATGCTGCAATGTTCCGTAATTATTGCTATATGTTATATCCTAATAAAATTGCAATATTTCAGCTGATATAACTACAGAGATATGGGTTCAGTGAAAATATGAAATTCTGCGCTTCAGGGGGGTTACTCAGAACGGAAAATTGTGCGAATACAGCGGGATACAGGGAGTCCTTCACAGCCCCCTACAGAAACTAGTGAAAATCTTTTTCAAGTATTTTCTATTGTGTTGATTTTCAATGAAACTATCCTCCCGGGTCGCACAGTTATTTTCTGGGTTCCTTGCCTAACGCATCATTGAAATCTCCAGTAGGAATACCATTGTATCTCGGTTTTCAGTTTTTCTCTTATGAGAATTGAAGAGTCAAGCATTTTATTTTTCGAATAATAGCCAATTATACCATTGTGGTGGCGTCCAAGTTTCTTGCCTAACTAATCGTTGGTGTCTGAATTAACAATGCGGTTTAGCATTTCTATATCGACGCAGCCACGTTTCTGCATTGCCTAGGTTTGCTTTCTAGTCCAGAAAGTTTCCGTGTGCTTGGGATCCCACAATATCTCTTTCCATGTACTTTTCACACTGAACATAAATCTTAAGTCAAAGGGGGTCAGTGGACAAATCAGTACCTAAGTAATTCAGGCATCAAAATCACATATTTGGCATCTTTGTTGTGGATGTGCATGTCCTCTTAGGGATGCACATTCAACAAAAATACCAAGATTTTGGATTCTGAGGTTCCATTTACTTACATATCTTCCACCTTCCCGCAACTTTGAGTTCAGATTCACATTCAGAGAAAAACATAGTGAGACACCCAACTTTCTTTTGTGGCCCTGTGCAACATTTTCATGCGTTTTATTTGAAACTTTTCCACCAACCTACAACTTTGATTTCAAATGCGTGTCCTGTATAAAAAAATACATGGGAAAACATAGCCGAACCTCAAGCACAAGCCCCTTCTTTTATTTTGTGGGAGTACGACTTTAGGTATATTTATTAAGTAGTAATATAGCTTTCACCCATCCGAACACAGACAGCCAACCATGCACTCAACGATCCTCTATCCGAGATATACCACCTTAATCAACAAGTTCCCGGAATTTATTAAAAAAATAGACAATACAAGTTTATTGTTCAACATCGAAACTGTCCCCTTCAAAGTAGTCCCCATTGACTGCAAGGCACTTATGCAACGCTCGATGCAATCCTTGAAACATTTTTTAAACTCGAGGTTAGGTATCTCTATCAGGGCCATCCTCGATTTTTCCATTATCTCCTCTCGGCTACTGAAACGGACTCCTCTCAGTGGCTTTTTGATTCGATTGAGCAAAAAGAAGTCACAGAGGGCCAAATCAGCTGAATTGGTATTCGTGTTGCTTTTGGCCAAAACGGATAATTATGGCATTGTGCGATGGTGAGGCTACTTGCCCACACATCTTTGCGCTTTTGACGGATTGATTCGCGCAAACGTCTCAAAACACCCAGATAGTACTCCTTATTGAAACTCTGACCTTCTGGCAAGAATTCACTCTGCACCACTCCGTAGTAATCCATGAAAACCGTGAGCATTTACTTCTTTTTAGACTGGAAACGACGCGGTTTCTTCGGTCTCGGCTCATCCGGCGCGCGCCATTCACTCGCCTGCCTGTGTGTCGTAATCTCGTCTCCAGTAATGATGCATTTGATGAATGTTGGGTGAGAATCAGCTGTGGAAATCGTGTCTTTAGCGATATCAACACCGCCCCTTCTTTGCATGAAATTCAAGCCTTTTGGCACCTACTTGGCTGCAACTTGACGGAGACAAAATCGTTGACCAAAATGCTTGGAACGCTTTTAAGCAATGCTTGAGTCCGCTGACATCTCTCTGATAGTTCATTTGCGGTTGTTGGCCAACATTTTCTTCACTTTGTCAACGTTTTCTTATGTTTGCGATGTTGATGGCCTGTCACTGCGCTCGTCATCGGCGATGGACTCATGACCGTTCGTGACACGCGAAAA